GTTATTTAAGTAAATTTTCGGTTATATAACGCCCTAGTAGAAAAAACGATCCTGCCCGGGATTGTGTAAACTTTCCGGTCTTAAGTAGCAACATCCATTGTTCTCTGCAGAACTTGCATCTCATCTTGCAAAAAGGTTGACAGTTAGCATCCAAATTTCGTCATTTGTTATAGATCCCTGGAACACCTATAACCTTTACCCTATGTACATCCGATCACGTGGTGGAAATTCCCCACTAAAACGGATAAAAGGCCGTTCTTACCCCTCTCAGGGGAGTCTATTACCGAACACAGGATTAACAACATCGCGCTGATATTCCGAACCAGCCGAATTCCGATCTCTGATGAACCTCGAATTAAANTATATATATATATATATATAAACGTGTGTGTCCCTATATTTCACTTTTTAGCCGAAACTACACATCGCACATGAATGGTGTTTGTATGTGGTAGTAAGCCCCAAGTCTCTATTCGTGCACTATGGTGGTTGCGTCTCGATAGCTGTAATGGTGCGGGAGATATGGGGTTGAAAGTGGTTGGCTTCGAAGATCAGTAACAATAAAAGTGTCAACAATGGAAGTGTTAACAATAGAAGTGTTAACAGTGGAAGTGTTAACAATGGAAGTTTTAAGAATGGAAATGTTAACAATGCAAGTGTTAACAATGGAAGTGTTAACAATGGAAGTGTTGAGTAACAAAGAAAGAAAGAAAACAAAACAATATAAAGCGGCATGCAAGATTTACAGGCGGTTTTTTGCGTTTTTGCGGGAAATCGAACATATTTTTATACTCATGTAAAAATTCTCTAATTAGTCTGGAAATTGTTACTTTTTGGCCAGTGAAGCGGGTCCTTGCAGCTAGTTAAATATAAAATTTTTAATGTTTAATGAAATTGTTATCAAAAATAAATTTATTATACAAACACAAAACACATAATAAAAGAAAAAATATTTCAGTCTACACATAATTTTGTATTGTATTAGTGGTGTCTTAAACATTTTATGAAGAATTAAAGCTGATTTGTATTATTGGGATGGAATTTTCAGATTTCGGACCTATTCTATAGACTAAATCGAGCACGATTTTGTTCATCCTCTTTAAAGCTGAATAGCTTCTGTGATTTTTGTGAAAAATATCTGATATTTTGCACCGAGATTTGCGTTTTATGGGGATTGATGCTATCAAATTTTTATTGACTCTAAGGAAGGGTAGATAAAGAGAATCGTGTGTCGTATAGGGTCGGACTTAATGACGATTTTAGTCGTTATTAGCATTTAAAATTTTTTTTTATAAAACCCATCAGTTTCTTAAAAATTAAGACTTTTGCAATTTTTTAATAAAAAAAAATATAAAACGTTTTTAATAATAAAACATCATAATAGATTGCGCCGCATACGCAGTTTTAAATGTTGCCGGGAAAGTTAGGCAACTCGTTGCTGGATTTATTCTTCTTCGGTTTTGGATAGTGCCATTTAAAGTTTTGTTTTGTATTTAATTCAAACTCATATTCCAGTTTTTAGATTCTGATCTACTAAACTAAAATCTTTAAAATTTTTCTTCAATAATACTTTTCATATAACTCACAAGGAAACTGTCGGACTGTCTTCTAATAAATTTTAATAAAATTTAGTTTTAATTTAATTAAAAAACGGTGCAAAAATTAGGTTTTCCATCTGTCGAGGGTAATTAGAAAATTTTTAGATTTGTTTAAAAACATGTTCGATTTTTTGCAAAAACGCAAAAATAGCATATATATATAGTACAGTAAAAGTCAAGTTTTTCAGTGTAATCCTGAAGTTTCCTTAAGATATATTTCGAAATTTCCCTCTGTCAGGAAGTAGAATTTCGAAAAATCCCTGTTAGTGTACATTCTCATCACGTACGTTGTGTATCAAATTTCAACTTTCAACACCTAACCGTTTGGGCTCTGCACTTATTATTATCATTATCAACCCTCTCGATTATATATATAGATGTATGTAATGTATGCATAGTATATATACATTACATACATCTATATATAGAGAAAAATGTAGTATTATGGAACCCTGTATGTATTATGGAACCCCTCTATTTCAAACTGATAATAAAGGCGAACTGTAGGGGATTGTGGCTGAACTGCACTAGGCAGACATCCATAGCATAACCCGTTTCACTTCAGTTAAACAGTTGTCCGTAGTGAATCAGCATATTTGTGTTTTTCGAAATTCGAAAGTTTTGAATGGTAAGTGAATTTAATTATTTCTAAAATATATATCGTGTGGTTATAGGTTCACTGGTGCATGTATTCTGTTCCTTAGACTTAGGTGTACATGTTAATCTGTGTGATGTTCACGTTTTTTAAAATTTGGTCTTGACAGAGATAAGTTAATTCAAGATGGCGATTCAAATGCCGCTTTTAATATGGAACCCGTCTAACTTTTGTAAAAGTATGTGGATAGATGAATGAAAAAATAGAAAGAAAATGAAAAAAAAAATAAAAATAGATACCTAACACCATAGGAGCATTATATTTCTGATTTTTGTAAATGATTAGCTTGTTCTTTGGACATTTCTTTATTATTATCATTATTATTATTATTATTATCATTATTAAATCATTTTTGCAATAAAATACTTTGGAGTATATAATTTTGAAATTATTTAACATTCTTTCTACTTTCCTATTTGTTTTTGTATACATTAAAGCATTTTTTGAAAACATAGAGTAAGGTTCCATATTACCACCCGGTTTTCCCTAAGCCTACTTACTGACGTTTTGTACAGAAGCCTTCAAAAACCATAATTATAGTTACACTAGCGAAAAATCCAATTAGAAACATTTACTTTAATAATTACCAGTACTTTTTGCACAAAAAATGTGGGTGTAGTTATGATACCATGTTTATAATTCACTATAATGAAAATGGTGTTCCATAATACCACCTTCTCCTCTATATATTATCGAGAGAGGTTGATAATGATAATCTAAAATAATACGTAAATATGAGTTAGCTTTTATTATAAATATAGAAGCATTCAACATAACATTTTTTTTTTTTTTTAATTTTATACATTCATTTCTTTATAGAAAAAGTTTATCAACGAGTTGCACGACTTTTCCCATGCTTAAATTTAAAACTGCGACTGGCGCCATAGCTCATTATATTTTATTTTATAAATTTTTATATTTATAATTACTATAAGATGGGGAAATGCTTAATTTTAAGAGTAGGCGGTGAGTTTTATAAAAAAAGTATAAATGTTACGAAGTAATAAACTCTTAATTAACGATTACCCTACTCGAAATATGATATATAACACAGCTTTACTTATCTCCTCACCTCCTCGAACTTTAACCAACAAAATGTAATATCATCAATCCCCTTATATACCAACTGCAATGCCAAATTTGGTTTCTTCAGCATTATTCCCATCCTGAGATTAAAACGAAATAGACGCCAACATACACACACAGACAAAACACACAAACACATACACACATACATACATCCATACATATTTAGAAAAAATTTTCTGTTTTTTTGACTTTTTGGTTCAGAAAATCTCGGAGGTTCAGACTTGTCACGATTAAATTACTTTCCCTTGTTACGTATACATAACAGCCGGAGAAGTAAAATGTATCCTGTCTATGCCTAAAAATTAAAAACAATAGATATGATGCAGTATATAGTATTTCACACTGGCATATGCCACTTGTGAACAATACCTTGTGAAACGTTTGGACAATTGTGGCCAAAATTTAGCAAACAAGGGAAATAAAAGGTTGAAATATAATTTGTTTACATATCGGTACAACTATTGGAAATTAAATTAAAGTAGATTTAAAAATTTATAAAATAGAGAAATCAGAATATTAAATATCAAATCATTATACATTTTAACTTTTCCTAAGTACTGTTCTTGATTATGAAATTCAAAACTTTTGGAGTATTATAACGAAAAAAACCAAGTAGATATAGTATAAAGTGAACTCTGAGACAATTCCGAACACTATAAATACGTCCATGATTACAGCAGCTGTGACTGTCAACACCGTTGATGCGCGAGATCATAAGTCAACGGACCGATAAAATGACGACCCATCTGCTGCAGTGCACGAAGCAAGACAAGTGTAGCGTTGGCTGATTTTTGATTAAGAAAACCATTTACCGTCCATTAGCGCATGCAGATACAGTAAGGAGAAGACTACATGAGTTGTACACAGGTGTATGAGTAAAACTAAGGTTTCACAGTTCTGGGAAAAATCCTCAATGGCTGAAATTGTAGACTAGAAATTTTCTTTTCACGTATGAAGGATTACCATCTGTGAGGAACTAAATATTTGAAGAAATTCAAAAATTTGCTAATATCTCTACAAATTAGTTAGCCTATACTGTCTGTCAAAACATAATTGATGGGCGGTATACAATGTATACCGCCCATCAATTATGTTTTATGATCTAACAAACCTGTTATTTAAAATGTATACTATACATTTTAAATAACAGGTTTGTTAGATCATTACTTCCTATTGAATAATACGACGTCGCATGATTAGAATGGAACGTTTAAAAAAATATTGTTCAAGTGACGCAGCTATTTTTGAAATGTAACAAAGTAAATTTGAAATTAAGTCAATGCGAAATGCGACATAATTGCAGTGTCATATTATGCAAGTTAAATTAGCAAAATATTAAAAATCACAATGAGATTTGGGTTAGATTTACCTTAGGTGACCAAAATGACCAGGCTTCGCACTGTTCATGGTCCAGATTGACTCCTCCCGGAGGGGAGCCGCTGGCAGGGCGCCTTGTGCGACACGCCACTAGTTATTGCTTCGCGGTAGTTCTTAAGCAAAATAAATAAAAAAAAAGGAAACGTTTACTAAAAATGTAGCTAATCTGATAAAAACGAAACGAACCTAACCGAAGCGCCGCTATTTTGGCTACCTAAGGTAAATTTAACAGAGAATTGTTTACATTTTACATAAGATTAAAATATTTATTTTATTTTCAGTGTTGGATTCATTGGGAAGACCGTCTGCGGGTTCACTGAAAGGACCCAGTTGGATTGCAGGAGATTACGATCAATGCCTACAAATTGACCATAATGTGGAAAATACTATAATGGGCAGACGATCGTATGATATACGCGGAAAGTTCTGTTATATTAATTTCGATTTTAAGAAAGTAAACAGTGAAATGATAGAGAAAATCATGACTTTAAAAAATCAAACCCTTGTGAAATTCATTGAATTCAATTTTGTAAGTACAAGAATTGTTCACGAGTTAGCAGAAACAAAATTTAAAAATTACAGTCAAACCTCAGTTTCCTTACGACTCACTTTTCGAACAAATCGTTTTACGAACCGAAATTAGAACATATAAAGCTATTCAGCAACGTGCCACAGATTACGGAGACACAGACGATTAACTCTATACTTCCCGAGTTAAAGAAAGTCGACGATTCGAGCAATCAACGACAGAAGGCAAACACAATTGTACTGATTCAGAAGTTGATGACGCTGAGATCGCCTCGCTTCATTAGACGTCACCACACGAATCACCGATGACGTTGCTATTTAAATTAGATTTCAATGAGGGAAAGATATGTTTGTCGGTATGTGCTGCAGTAGAATTTAAATCAAATCAATCAATAAAAACGAATCAAATTTGAAATCCGAGATTTGACTGTATTTAATTCTGAGAGTATTCAATTTAATGAATATAACAATGTACTTCTGTGTGTGCGGTTTGCCTTATTTAATATGTTTATTTTCAGAAACCATTCACTCTTTCTCATATAATATCAACTCTGAAAAGTGGACCAAAATTATTTATTGACGTTTGTATTCCAAATTCCTGTTCTAAAAATGATTTGCAAAATATTATAAAATGGGGTAAGTAAATTATATCGATTGATTAATAGAATTTGTTAAGTACTTATGAACTTACTAATTTCTATTTTCAACATGAATATTTTTAATAAAAAATTAGACCTGTCAGATTTGACTGCCAGATACAGGAGGTGATGTAGGCACAGCCATGTATGCTGGAGAGTCCAGATTTAACTTTTGGTTGGATTAAAAATTTTCATGGACAGTAAACTAGTTGCTAAAAGTATTATTTTTCATTACTCGCCACTCCACAAAAACATATAGTAACATCAGCCAATGTTTCATGTTATATACATTATTACAAAAATTCTACGAATTGATTCAATATGTTTTATATATAACGACGTCGTCCGAGGGAAGAGAGTTGTTTTGCGTGTGTTGTCTGCACAGAAAACATAGTATCATGTTTTTGTCGTAAGAGTAAAGAATTCATATGTGCAATTTACACTACATTTTTATTTTCAATTTTAAATTTTACACACAAAAGTGTCATGGTTGATATCAGCTAATATTTCAATAGGTTATAGAAATATATTCAAAAATAATTTTTCGTTAATTATAATGTAACACTGTCATTATATGGAGTAATGAAGCAGTTACATGTGCCCAGATAATTGAAAACCAAATTAATGTAGCTGTATATTCACTTATTTCACACAGAAAGTTATAACGTATCCACATTATAAAATAATTATTAACGAGCTATAAAATGTAAAATATGATTCAATACTGCAGCCCCGCATTGTGACGTCGTCACAATGCGGGACTGCAGTATTGAATCATATTTTAAATTTATTTAATTACAATTTTTCTGATAAAACCCATTCTTTGCTTCAAAAGTAAGCGTTTTGCCATTTTATAATAGTTAAAAATACAAAAATTTTTAAAATAAAATATCATAACTAATGGCGCTACCAAATATTTCCGGGAAAGTTAAGCAACTCGTTGCCGGACTATTATAAATAAAAATAGAATTGAGAGTGTAATAATTTTTATTAAAATCGATAGTTTGCACTGGTAATTTTCGATTGAAGAGTAAAATTTTTGTTAACAATTTGAAATCATAAAAGTTATGTTAATTGTGTCAACATTATCTTTTCAGTAACTGGAAATGAAGATTTATTGACTGTGGAAGAATGTCAAGAACGAGATGATAAAAGGATTTATTCAATACCACAAATAATTACCATGTGAGCTGTATATGTTAATTATACTTGATAATATTAATTTAGTAACAATTATTCTTGTTATCTGCACAAAAATTAATATGTACTAATAATTTAACAGTTATATTTTGTTAGTTTAATTTAAAATTTACCTATGAAAATATAATTAAATTATAAATAGTTTAATTAGTAAATATTAGTATAATATTTTTAATTTATACGAAAAAATATTTTAATTTAATGTCCAAATTTTGAAGGCGAAAAAAAAAATGGGAAATTGATTAACAGTAACGATATACACGGTGCATAAAGGGGAATTCTTGTTTTCTTTAGTAAAATAGTTTTCTTTCTTTTTTGGCTTTGAAGTGCCCTACTGCATAAAAGCACTGAACACTGGTAGATGGTAACTGGTTCGCAATTTACTACTGGGCCTGCTGCGTAGATTATTTTATATTCACTTTTCGTGTTGTATATCAAAATACGGGTAAGTGTCTCATAGAAAGTCCTTCCTGGAAGTGCACCCGTAGCAGAGTGCCATGTGTAGTTGATTTGTTCTTTTAAATTTAATTCGATCCTTTTTTTATTCTGAATTATATTATCGTTTTAGAAATACTGAGAAAATTTTACTAAGCTTTAGCTTGCTGTAATAGACATTTTCCAGTTTATTAAACTTTATTTCTAAATGTCCCTAAATAATAGTCATAATGACAAATAAATATTTCGTAAAGTTTTTATAATTCACACTAATTATGGTACACATAATTTACATTTTTAATCAGAAAATTCAATTCGGTCTTTACGATATAACTACCTATCTTACCTTTTTATGTAAACATTGTAGATTATTATAAACTACATTAATTATATAGTTTATTTGATATACATTTTTATAGGTCGATTTTTGCTTTCTTTATCATTTGGGTAACACTTGCAACTGTTGCAGAGAAGCTACGGAAATTAACAAACCATCCACGTTTTATAGATGAAGGTAAGATTTGAAATATATAATTAGTATTTCTGACATATAGGCCTACTTTGACACCATTCTTAGCATTTTCCAATCTTTAATAAATTATTTATGCGAGGAAGCATTTTATTGATAGTCGAAAAAGTCTGAACCAGTGATTCCAAAGTTTTATGTGCCATCGCCCTTGGTTATAGAACGAAGTGGGCGATAGGGGCATCATATAGTCAACCATACCACCACCGTCCATCACCTGTTTTCTTTTGACTTTAAAATATATTTTTAAAATTTTTTCTGTTAAAATCGCACTTTGTGTCCTTACTGTATATTGTCTTTCTTATATGGAAATCACTAAACGTAGTGTTTCTTCTCACCCGTTTTAATGGAAAAAACGGAAAGTTGTCAGTGACTCCAAACCTCACCTATGGTCGTTATCTGATGAGGACTTTCAGTCTATTTCCTGCGGCGCCCTTCGCTTCTTTTCACCCCCGACGATTTCTCGCTCCCAGGGGCGGTTGCGCTGACTTCGGGAAACTTGCCTATTTTTTATTGACTATTGATGAATCATTACTTTCACAGCCCGGTTGTTAATATTTGCACATAGAATAACGCACAAATTTGAATTAAGTAAAGAGCTGATTGGAGTTCATTGTCAAATAAACGAAAAGTAGTGATATGTTCACTGGAATCCTGGAGAAGTGTTTCAAAATTGATTTAGATCTGATAAAATTATCAGGTATGACGACTGACAGAGCTGCTTCCATGATAGGGGCTAATTCGGGATTGGTAACATTACTGAAACAGCACGACGATGAATTGATATAATTCCATTGCATAATCAGCCAGGAGAACTTGTCCCTTAAGAAACTTAGATGTGTACTACGTGATGAAAGTCGCTGTTTCAAGAATAATTTAATAAAATGCCGTGGCCTGGATCTCCTACAGTTTAAAAAGTCTGTTGAACACATTTCTGAGCGAATATGATGGCCTGATCTTTTATACAGAAATGAGGTGGCTAAGTCGCAATCAAACATTGGAGCGGCTCTTCAATTTAATTGATAAACTTGAACTTTTCATGACTGACAAAAATAAAAAGCCCCTGACATTAAAAATCCGGATTTGTTATGTGACCTTAGCTATCCTGGTTCACATTACTAATCATTTAAATACTTTAAATACGCTACATCAGGACAAAGATCAAATAGTTACTAAAATTCACAGCCACATTTTCTTTTCAGTATAAGTTAAATTTAGTTCAAATTCAACTGAAGTCGGGAAATTACATTTTACTAATTACAAGAAAGTTTCTATAAAATTTAATATCGTCTTCAAAACTATATATTTTGAAAAGATTGATAACTTGGTATCAGCTATTAAAGATCGTTTTTCTTCTTTTCAAAACGTAAAATCGTTGCTGGATTTATTAAGCAACACTTTTGTCTTTTGCCAGAAAATGAACCTGAATCAGTAGGGCAGTGGTACTCAACCTTTTTTGTTGATGTATTCCATTAAACCATTAGTTGTTTCTCAAGTACCCCTTATATTTTTGTATGTAAATTTTATAATTACTGTGTTAGATGTATACAGCCCTTATAATTGAGTGCCATAAAAAAACTCTAACTAAAAGTGAATTACTTATTTTACGTAAATCATAAATTTAATAAGGTACATACATTTATTTATTATTATTTGATAAGTATATTATATAAAATCACAGAAGTCATTTCAATACATGCGTAAATTACATTTCCTAAAATTAAATAATTTTAATTAACGATAAAGAAAATTTAAATTATTCTACAATAATTTCTAACAAAATTCAATGGAATATTTGTTGCAATAAATCTTCAGTAATTTTTTCAAAATTTGGTTCCCACATTGTTAAATAGAGATTATAATAGTGCACTGACCTTGAAAGTAATGGCTGCGAATTTATAACGTGCAGAACAATACACGAATCTGTCAATTTTTGTAACAAATGTAATATGTACCCCACTTTCTAAATATCAAGTAATGCGCGTATGCAGTGAAACGCATTACATGGTGGGGGGTACGATCCAGGCCTCGTTATTCCTAATACCAGTAGTCCAGTAAAAACACGAAAACATTCAATCTCATCGAGCAATAGTTATAGAATAGAAAAAAAAATTTATTTTAAAATTAATGCCTCGTTTAAACCATACTTTTAGTAGACTACAGGTTCACTCGGCACTAACGGCACAAATAAACGGGCAAATGAAGTGGATAAAGAAGTTGTTTGGACTGTTAAAAGGGAAATCGGTGTTCATACTGGGATATGGGTTTATGCAAAAGTTCGTTCCGTTTTATTGAAAAGAATCNTAGACTACAGGTTCACTCGGCACTAACGGCACAAATAAACGGGCAAATGAAGTGGATAAAGAAGTTGTTTGGACTGTTAAAAGGGAAATCGGTGTTCATACTGGGATATGGGTTTATGCAAAAGTTCGTTCCGTTTTATTGAAAAGAATCAAAGAAAAATTTTATTTACTAAAACTTACATTTAATCAATATAGTATGTGCCATTCTGTTCGATGATCTTTCTCCATCTCTCCGGTAGCTGCATAATTCCGTGCTCATAGAATTTCTGAGATTTCTGGCTAAAAAACTGATCCAGGTGATTCTTCAAGTCTTTCAAGGAAGTAAAGTTTTTACCATCTAAGCTATTTTGAAGCGATCTAAATAAATAGTAGTCAGAGGGTGCAAGGTAAGGAGAGCATGGTAGATGGACCAAAACATCCCAGTCAAGTTGTAAAAGTTTTTGTCGGGTGGCCAAAGACGCGTGTGGTCTAGCGTTTTCTTGATGGAACACAATGCCCTTTCTGTTGGCTAATTCAAGTCGCTTCTGGTCAATTGCTCGCTTTAATTGACTTAGTTGTGAACAGTATTTCTCTGAATTAATGGTCTGATTTTCAGGTAACAGCTCATAATAAATAATTCCCTTCCAGTCCCACCAAGTGCATAGCATAACTTTCTTCGGATGTAAACTGGCTTTTGCGCTGGTTGAAGGAGCATCTCCGTCCTTAAACCATGATCTTTTACGCTTAACATTATTATACATAATCCATTTTTCATCACCGGTAATCATTCGCTTTAAAAATGAATCGATTTCATTGCGCTTCAATAGAGAATCGCAAGCAGAAATTCGGTCTATCAAATTTTTTTCTGTTAACTCATGCGGCACCCATACATCGGCCATGCTAACCATTCCAAGTTGATGTAATCGCCATGACACTGTTGACTGATTGATTCGAAGAATTTCTCCAATCTGTCGAGTTGTTTTATGTCGATCGCTTTCAATTAGTGCCAATATTTTGTTGTCATCAGCCTCGGCTAGTCGTCCAGAACGTGGTGCATCGCTAAGGTTAAAATTGCTTTCACGTAACATTCTGAACCACTTACGGCACAATCATCAATTTCTCCCTCACCATACACAGATCATATTTTTTTTTTTTTTTTTTGAGTCTGCGAAGCATTCTTGCCTTTTCGGAAATGAAAGAGCATAATATGTCGAAAATTCTCCTTATTTTCTGCCATTTGTAATGCTTAACAAAATTTTAAGAACACAACTAAGTAAGACAGCTTTATTCTCAAATACTAGCTAAGATCCCTTTTGTCAAACAACATCGAAATTTTACTCATGTGAAGGAAATAGCACTTCAGTGTTGCGTTTTTAGCCAGCTGGTGCTAAAAACGGACGAACTTTTGTGTCAACCCAGAATTTTAAAGTAAGTTTTTGTCGTTTCTTGTTTCTTGTGTTAATAATTTACAGCAAATTGTTTAACATACGCCATTTTATAATGAAAGTTAGATGTCGATTTGCACTCGTACCCCTAGGGGTACATGTACCCTCGGCTGAGAATCACCGCAGTAGGGGAAGGTGAGGCAAGATGAGAATGTTAATGTTTGAAAAATCGTAAGATGGCAACCACTTTAATGAGAATAATAATTTTTTTATTATCAGCAACTACAACATTTGGTAATATATAATACAAAATTTAATTTTTGAAAAACGTTTTTAAAAACAAGAAAATTTAATATTTTAAAATTATATGTAAATGCACCATCTTGCCCCACCCACGGGGTAAGATGGGGATATTATTCTTATATACTGTACAAGAAGGACAAATTAAAATTGTTAAACTGTCGTTTTCCTCAATATTGTCACAAGAATAGTGTGCACATTTATCACAACGGCTACATTTAGCCCAACTTTCTGTAGATACAGAGTATAACCTTCCACAATAGAGGCATTCTGTGACATTTGTTTTTTACTTGTTAGGCCTACCCTTGCTGAAGGGGCCTGTTTGTCGTCTCTGCAGCAATAAAGTCTGCCTGCAAAAATACTTCTGGATTCGTAGGCTATATTCAAGGTCAACCTGGGGCTAGATGGGTACCTCATCTTGCCCCAACGTACACTTTTTATACTTACTGCAAACACAAGTAAACTTCATTTTAAAACTAAACAATTACAGTGTTAAAGGTTACTTCGAATACCATAATATCTTCATCTAAAAAATAATGTAAAAGTTCATAATGATACTTACTTTGTAGAAACTTTTTAGCAGGCATAAAATTAGATGAAGTATTGCTGAAACATGAAAAAGGTATTTTACTTCCAAACAGAGAGCGATTTGGTCGTTCCGTGGCTCAATGATCCCTTTCGAGGTAGATATTTAGTTCCCCAAATAACAGCTAGATAAAAGAACATTAACCACAAATAAACAGACGTCCTCGTCTTACCCTATGACCCCATCTTGCACCACCTTCCCCTACAGCTTGAACTCATCGACACGCAAAACGATGAGAACCTGGAAAATGAAAGAAATAAAGGCAATATATGAAACTTCTATCGTGTCGATAAAAACAATTATAAATCGTTGCGAAATAATGCATTAAAATGCGTAAGTCTCTTTGTGTCAACATAAAGTCTATTTGTGAACAAATTATTTTAGTCATGAAAATTAACAAATCGAAAAATAGAAATCGCTTCACTGATAAAAATTTAAAATGAATTTTACCGTTGGCTACTACAAAACTCGATCCAAACATCAAAACAATTGTATTATTAAAATATAAATTTTCGTCTATAATAACGTATTTTCTATTACCAGGACTTATTATACTGGCATTACAGAAATATTACAAAGTTTTACAGAAAAACATTTTTTTTTTAACTTAATTAANCACAAGAATAGTGTGCACATTTATCACAACGGCTACATTTAGCCCAACTTTCTGTAGATACAGAGTATAACCTTCCACAATAGAGGCATTCTGTGACATTTGTTTTTTACTTGTTAGGCCTACCCTTGCTGAAGGGGCCTGTTTGTCGTCTCTGCAGCAATAAAGTCTGCCTGCAAAAATACTTCTGGATTCGTAGGCTATATTCAAGGTCAACCTGGGGCTAGATGGGTACCTCATCTTGCCCCAACGTACACTTTTTATACTTACTGCAAACACAAGTAAATTTCATTTTAAAACTAAACAATTACAGTGTTAAAGGTTACTTCGAATACCATAATATCTTCATCTAAAAAATAATGTAAAAGTTCATAATGATACTTACTTTGTAGAAACTTTTTAGCAGGCATAAAATTAGATGAAGTATTGCTGAAACATGAAAAAGGTATTTTACTTCCAAACAGAGAGCGATTTGGTCGTTCCGTGGCTCAATGATCCCTTTCGAGGTAGATATTTAGTTCCCCAAATAACAGCTAGATAAAAGAACATTAACCACAAATAAACAGACGTCCTCGTCTTACCCTATGACCCCATCTTGCACCACCTTCCCCTACAGCTTGAACTCATCGACACGCAAAACGATGAGAACCTGGAAAATGAAAGAAATAAAGGCAATATATTCTATCGTGTCGATAAAAACAATTATAAATCGTTGCGAAATAATGCATTAAAATGCGTAAGTCTCTTTGTGTCAACATAAAGTCTATTTGTGAACAAATTATTTTAGTCATGAAAATTAACAAATCGAAAAATAGAAATCGCTTCACTGATAAAAATTTAAAATGAATTTTACCGTTGGCTACTACAAAACTCGATCCAAACATCAAAACAATTGTATTATTAAAATATAAATTTTCGTCTATAATAACGTATTTTCTATTACCAGGACTTATTATACTGGCATTACAGAAATATTACAAAGTTTTACAGAAAAACATTTTTTTTTATTTTAATTAATATACCTATATATTAAGTAAAATAAAAAAATGTTTTTCTGTAAAACTTTGTAATATTTCTGTAGTGCCAGTATAATAAGTCCTGGTAATAGAAGATACTTTATTATAGACAAAAATTTATATTTTATTAAGAAAAAAGGACACTGAGGCATTTTAATTAAACAATTATATTATGAATGTATGTCTCTTTAATTCGAAAATTAAGTTTGTTAGACTATCATTACAGCTTTCAGGTTAGACACTTCTTTTGTTGTTTTCACATATGCATTTCAGGCTTATATAAATGCTAAGCCCTTCTTCAGTGCAATACTACAAATTATTAAAAAAACAACAATTAGTAACATGACAAAATTTCTCTCATATAGGTCATATTTACTGACATAAAACTATCATATTGTCTTTTTTAACTTTAATGTGTTTGGCGTATATACTCTTCCCTTAATATCCTTTTTTAAATTTCATTTATCTGACAATGTTCGCAAGATTAAAGACACAGACAGATGCCAGTGGAAATGTATAGGTCTACAATTTTTTCAAATTGCAGTCAAATGATACTGAAAACTTCAAAGGGTTTTCACCCAAACATGAAGATTTGGCTAATGGATGAGACAGTAAAGTTCTCAACAGCTCTGAGGGATTCTGGTTCGAATTCAAACGATCAGCTTTTCAGAATTTTTTGCTTAACAGTGTTTCCATCTTAGTTTTGAAAGTTCAGTTCAGTTTAAAATTTTAAATCGCCTGATTGTTTTCTTAGTGAGGAAATAATATATAAGTAAAAAATTTTCAATTAGCAAAAAAATTTTAATTCAAATAAATTTGAATTTCTTATTTATACTATAAAGATTTATCTATTAATTAATAACGAAAACTATATTTTCAGCAAAACTTTTGAATAACTTCCTTTCGGTTTCTCTCAGTACATCTCTACAGAAACTTATAAGCGTCAACATTAATAGAGAAACAAAATGGATTTGTGCAGCAAAGTTTTTTATAATGAATGTTCTCGTATTTGGTCATATAATAATTACAGTGGTATATGTACCATCAGTAGGTAAGTACTATAAATGGAGATATGATATAAAAAATAAGAAAAAATTAAACTTATATAGTTATTTACTACTCAAAATTATTCTTTTAATCACTATATCAGTGTATTTCTATTAATAGGACTTATCATACTGGTGTATAAGATTACAGCCTCACAGTTGCACAGATTAAAATTGTTTTATTTTCAATTACCTGTACAGGTAATTGAAAATAAAACAATTTTAATCTGTGCAACTGTGAGGCTGTAATCTTATACACCAGTATGATAAGTCCTATTAATAGAAATACACTGATATAGTGATTAAAAGAATAATTTTGATTAAATTAAGGACATAAATTCATATTAATTAACGAAGTTATTTACTACTTTTATAATGATGCCTTTATTTTCATAAAAATAATTCTATAATATATAATAACAATTAAATACAGTAGAGTGTTTATCGTATGTCATTTGCCAGTTTAAAACGAACAGTAATGCAACATTTTGCCGCAAAGTGGTGTAAATGTAATTTTCGTGTTACTACTTGATGTATGCGACAAAATGTATACTTTAGTTTTTTTAACTGTTTCGGCTTTGAGGACAGTAAGAACTCATCATTTAGCAAACCCATTATGGTTTCGGCCCGACCCACAATGGGCAGCCGAATGGTGTGGTACGAAACGGTCTACCCCGAAAAATTCTTGGAGATCACTCGACCTGTTCGAATTCGATTACGAGTCCTTCGAAGCGGCAAGATACCATCTTGACCGCTCGGCCATTTTTCCAAAATGCACGAATATACTGTCAATCGCTAGTTGTTTGTTGCACCTGCGATTGGCAAAACAGTCACAATCATAATAAACACGATAAAGAAACCTAGTAAACCAGTTACGTTTTTACTGTACGTTTTAACTGTCAGGACGTGCGTGTGTATATACAGTACATACAAAATCCAGTAATCCGAAAATCTGCTGTAATTCGACAGCCGCCAGTCCGATATATGTTGGATTACAGCGACTCTACTGTATTTTAAATGTAATGAGAATGAAATAAATTTTACATGTACAGTATCTTTAGTTTTTTGAGTTAAAACTAATATAATTTATAGTACAGTAGGATTCCATGAAACGAGTTTTACGGCATAGATTATCTAAATAGCCGAATTTTCTTAAGGAATCACATGTTCGAATACATATACGTATCAACTACGTCGTAATAGTGACCATATTTATATTTATAATTAAATTTTCATTTAAAAATATTGGATATTCAGTGGTTACTTATACTTAAGACTTATATTATATTAGTATTGTTTGCTGTGTATAGCAGCGAAACAATTATACAATAGAGAGCGGTATTAGTTTTGACCAGCTGCATAAAAACTGATAGCGCCTTCTGTTTCATGATTATATTACTGATCGCCTTTAATTTCGTAAGTGCCTAGTAAATAGTCTCTGTCATGTATATTATTAACATTTTCTCTGTGCAAAATTAATTTTTTGTTAAAATTGCCATTACAAACACCGTGCAATTATTGTTTCTTTTCTTCAATAGAAATTTTTCGNTACAGGTAATTGAAAATAAAACAATTTTAATCTGTGCAACTGTGAGGCTGTAATCTTATACACCAGTATGATAAGTCCTATTAATAGAAATACACTGATATAGTGATTAAAAGAATAATTTTGATTAAATTAAGGACATAAATTCATATTAATTAACGAAGTTATTTACTACTTTTATAATGATGCCTTTATTTTCATAAAAATAATTCTATAATATATAATAACAATTAAATACAGTAGAGTGTTTATCGTATGTCATTTGCCAGTTTAAAACGAACAGTAATGCAACATTTTGCCGCAAAGTGGTGTAAATGTAATTTTCGTGTTACTACTTGATGTATGCGACAAAATGTATACTTTAGTTTTTTTAACTGTTTCGGCTTTGAGGACAGTAAGAACTCATCATTTAGCAAACCCATTATGGTTTCGGCCCGACCCACAATGGGCAGCCGAATGGTGTGGTACGAAACGGTCTACCCCGAAAAATTCTTGGAGATCACTCGACCTGTTCGAATTCGATTACGGGTCCTTCGAAGCGGCAAGATACCATCTTGACCGCTCGGCCATTTTGCCAAAATGCACGAATATACTGTCAATCGCTAGTTGTTTGTTGCACCTGCGATTGGCAAAACAGTCACAATCATAATAAACACGATAAAGAAACCTAGTAAACCAGTTACGTTTTTACTGTACGTTTTAACTGTCAGGACGTGCGTGTGTATATACAGTACATACAAAATCCAGTAATCCGAAAATCTGCTGTAATTCGACAGCCGCCAGTCCGATATATGTTGGATTACAGCGACTCTACTGTATTTTAAATGTAATGAGAATGAAATAAATTTTACATGTACAGTATCTTTAGTTTTTTGAGTTAAAACTAATATAATTTATAGTACAGTAGGATTCCATGAAACGAGTTTTACGGCATAGATTATCTAAATAGCCGAATTTTCTTAAGGAATCACATGTTCGAATACATATACGTATCAACTACGTCGTAATAGTGACCATATTTATATTTGTAATTAAATTTTCATTTAAAAATATTGGATATTCAGTGGTTACTTATACTTAAGACTTATATTATATTAGTATTGTTTGCTGTGTATAGCAGCGAAACAATTATACAATAGAGAGCGGTATTAGTTTTGACCAGCTGCATAAAAACTGATAGCGCCTTCTGTTTCATGATTATATTACTGATCGCCTTTAATTTCGTAAGTGCCTAGTAAATAGTCTCTGTCATGTATATTATTAACATTTTCTCTGTGCAAAATTAATTTTTTGTTAAAATTGCCATTACAAACACCGTGCAATTATTGTTTCTTTTCTTCAATAGAAATTTTTCGTTTATAACATTTCTTGATGTTTTTTCTTTTAATTTTTAATTAAAATATTTTAAAATATATTTGTAATTATTAAAAATATTTTATGTTCATATTCTGTTAATACTTTTCTGTTTAGTTTATCTTCTCTTAATATAGCTATGGAAACAAAATTGTTCACTTTATATTAATTAATTTACATTAATCGGTTATTTGAAATAATTTAGTATAAATATTATTCAATTACTTTCATAAATATTTTCAAAACATTTATTTTTACAGAATACCTACGAAATACTTATGACATGTGGCACAATATTGTTTTAGAAACAATTATGAACGGAATTGTACCTGTTGAATCATTCTTTTTTATAAGGTAATTAAATTGAAAAGTTTTTTATCTTCAATATTATTTTACTTAATAATTTATTACTAAAGTATTTTAATGTATATATAAGCATAGCAAATAGAAATTCATTTATTATAATGGCTTTCATATCATACTATGCATACCGAGTAATTGCAGTAACGTACATGATGTACTACAGTTAATGGACATTTTAAAAATCATATAAAATCAACAAATTTGCGTATTACGATGGGGTTTGCACCAAAAGGCTTGTCATGGAAGCGGAGTTTTCTGACAAGAAAAATTTTTAGTTAAAATTTTCTCTGATAGAGAATGTGATTATTATCACATAATCAGAACAGTATAGAAAACAAGTTAAGTTGGTATGGTATTAATTCATTTGCACTCGCGACCATGCTACAACAGCAGTTTTTTAATGTGCCCACCACTATGACATTTTGCAAGTTAGCCATAACATAACTCACAGATGCATGACGCATAGAATCTGTGCATGCCTTATTATTCGCTAATGTCAGCATTAAGTATAATAATGCAATAACTTGATATGCACAAAATACTGATGATACAGATGCACATCTTTTTAAAGGATTTGAGTTTGCATATTTTCGTGATGCAAACGATATAGTGCCTCTCTATTTGTGAAAAATTTATCTTATGCCAAAAAGTCTTCTTGTGAGGAATGAGAAATCTTTCGGTGTAATCCTCAGTGAAATATACCAATTCGTTTATTTTATACTAGCAGACCCTGCCACGCGTTGTTGTGGCTCAAAATGTATCTATTATAAATTTATAACACTTCCCCCGTGGAGGGGGAAATTTTTCTAAAAAATTTCTTTTTAGTGTACATTCTGTTGACGTACGCTATTAAAACGCAATAAAAAATGCAAAAACCCGCATCTAAAATAGTATAAATGGAAGCAGAGTTCTTTACTGTAAGCCTTAATCCTAATTTTCTCTTTTCAGTGGGGTTGAATTTCGACATGTATATTATATAAAATCACGTGCGTATTCGAATGCAGCGTTGTGTCAAAATTTCAAACGAATCGGTAGGAAGAAACGAACATTACATTTTTATTTATATAAATAGATAGAAGATGATCTGCTTTAGTTCATTTTCACAGAAAAGCATAATGCCTCCCAGAAAAGCAAACTTAGCGCGTCGTACTCGTAGCATCTGTTGGACATAAAAGCCTTAACCTAGATTATATCTTTTAATTTATATGAACGTCTAACGGAATAATATACAGCCTATGTCCACCCTGAAGTTTCATTCTAAATATTGGTGAAAGAATTTTTGAAATCGGATGAGTAGTTTCAGAGATTACATCCAAACTTACAAACATTATCTCTTTATAATATTAATATAGATAGTTATTATGATTTTTAAAGTCTACAAACTTTCAGGACATCTCTATATTTTTTTATTCAATGCTATCTAAAGATATATTTAGCAGTCTAAAAGAAATTTCGTTGGTGCATTGCAGGACACGCGAATTACATTTCCATAAAAATTTTAAAAGCAAACACATCACTATGGGACATTTTCAAACAAATGAAAACATTTTTCTGCATAAATATACAAGTTACAGCCAAGTTTTAGGTATTAAAATGGCCACAGCTTTCGAATGTCATTCTTACCACACATGATTCATATATTATCTTGCCAGCTCACAATTTTCTATAAAGCTGTTTTATGTAAAAAGACAATACTACATGTATCCTTCGGTAGTTTCGTCTTTATACAAATTTACGCTGAAATTTATGGACTCTACAAGCCCTCAGTAGAAAGGTCGACTCTGGAAAATACACATAAGGAAGTTCAACCCTGTTGACGATGCAGATCTATTATTTTAAAACTTATTAAAGATGCTACTACTGGTGTCATTCGTCAGACAATGAATAATGTTGCCAACTGCAACTATAGTGTCACAACAGGTGAATGTACCTATGACACCAGGTGGAAGGTAATCAGAAAACATGCGATGTTTTCCATATAAGCTCAGTAATAAATAGCAACAGTTGCTTACAGGAAAATTCAACTGATCTTTGCATTGATGTTGTTTGTCAGAACGAAATGGATCTGTCTTTGCCATAGACGATTCTGTAGAATGACGAATTATATTTTTAGCTCAATGGAATAGTGACTGTTGCACGGAAAAGGAATTTTACTAATGAAGAAAGTGATTTATTGAGGACGTGTTGCAGATTTGACTGCCTCGAAACAAAATTATCACACTTTCTGTGAGAAGCATCACAGAAGTTCAGTCACGTTCAGCCATTGACTAAACTGTACATCGCTTTCAGATTTTACTTTTAGGACAAGAACTTGCACAGGCCGGAAGAATAACGATCTAATTAACCTTTTTGGTTTATGAGCAAATGAAATACGTAGCAGGCTTCTTTATTAATAAAAAACAATCTTAAAAATTTGATTTTGTTTATACTTCTGAATGATGACTACAGTAAGCACTATCCCATGCACTACAAATATTCCTGTGTAGTATGTGTCTTGTACAAATGAAACATTTATTTTCTGTAACGTGAAAAGTAAGTTTTGGTACTAATTTTTATAGAAAAATTGCTCATATATGTCCAAAAATGTTATTATAGGAAATTTAGTTTGATTTCGAGTGGTGAAGATTCTAAACTCCTACATTTCTAAACAGCATTAAATAGGCTATACAGTAATTGCAATTGACCATGACACAATAATAAACAATTAATTATTACTTTTCTTGATTATTGAACGTTTTAAAGATCTTCCGCTAAAAGTGGTTCTTAATCTTTATGTTAGTTTTATTTCTTCATAATATAATCGTAATATAGCAGCTAATTCTGCATCATATTAATGATATATCTTGTGAACTAATTCTTGCTGCTGTAAGTTACCATCTATTGCTATTACTTTGTGTTAATATCGTGCTTTCATCCTTAGGAAATTAAGGGTAACAATTCAACACCACAGTACGTTTTAAGTCTTTTGAAAAAGCGACAAGTTGCTTACCTTTGTCAGTAACATTTAAAATTATGGATGCGCGTTCTGTTACATTAAAAATTTTTTATGTTTTTAACTGTGATAAAATGCAAAAAGCTGAATTTCGAGTGTAGGAATCGCTTTTATTAAAAAACTAAATGCTAACAACGAGTGAAATCGTCATTAAGTTCGATCTTTTTGGAGATACCTCCGGAAAGACACAACCCTCTTTATCTTTTCACTTCCTCCAAATTTAACAATCTAAATTTAATAGCACGAATCCCGATAACAAGCAAACCTCTTTACAATATTGCAGAAATTATCAATAAAAAACAAAGGAGTTATTACGCTTCAAACAGGGTGAACAAAATTAAGCCCCTCACACACTAACATTCATAAATATGGAAATTACCCCCGAATTTTTTGGAATTTTCCACGTTTTAAGATATTCTGATAGCAAGAAAGTAAAAATCATGAGCGGTAATATTTTGAGAGATCGCCATAGTTTCTGTTATGTATAACAGCCGGGAAAATAATTCAATCTATAAATATTTTCTGTAAAATGGAATGATGCTAATACAGAAATATTCGTGAAACTTCCATTACTTCCATTTTAAACAATGACATTCACATAAAGAACTATTGTTGAAATTGATTTAAAATAATATATGTTTTAAAAAAATCACTTAAAAATATATTTTAATGTGGTTTTATGAAAAATGTTTAATGTTCTTGTTTTTTAAACATTAAACGGTTCTCTGTTTTTTAGGTGTATATATTACTGTGTAAGACCGATATCTGGCGAATGTCAACATTCTCCGGTGAATGTCAGCATTCACACAGTCGTTTCGTGTATGTACGAAATATTTGTTAAATATCATTATTTCTCACTTACACTGTCAAATGTCGACATTCAGCTTGCACTCATGGTGAATTTTGAATAAAAATATCTTTATTACGTTAAGACAAAAATGCAACTTTTTAATATGTCAAAATAGGAGAAAGCCTTAGTAACAGCACATGTAAATAAACTGTTGAACATAAAAAGAACAGTACATTCTAAATCATTAAAGAAAATAATATAATAATAAACTTACACATAAATTATGTGATTAACGTTATACAATCTATTTATTGCAACAACTTAAACTGTTATGGCACTTTGAATTGCACAAGAGTCCCTTTCTTTTACAACTGCATTTATTCGTGGAACACTTCTTTTTGCAATGACAGAGTATATAGCCTTGCCCTTCACTTTTCGAATTAGCTTCAGCTGCTTCTCTCAGCAATATTTCTTGAGAAGAATTTTCATTTATGGAAAGTGAGTTTTCTTTACAAATCACGAACTAATTACGTTATTACGTGATAACGATCTGTTAATGGTGTCTTTTATTCGGATATCGCCGATGACTTACCGACGACCCGTCTCATCCTCCGCCACTCGACCTGACAAACCGATCCTCATCTCACGGGATCAAAAGAACAAAAACGCCATCTAGTGACAAAGTGGTTTCCACCAAATCGTTGCGGGAAAAAAGGAACGACCTTGTATTCCTCCGGCTATCCGCAAAGGATTTGGCGACAGACTATCACCTCTCTGTCGACATCGGCATCTGTCGGTCTCTGTCGACATCTCGGGTGTCGTTTCGACCTCCACCAAAGCTTATCTGTGCTTGTCGGCCGATTGTTCGAATGTATAATAATATAACCAAATATTCGGTCTTTTACCGACGTATTTTGTATGTGTCGACATTTACCAGAGAATATCGACATTCTCTAATTTTGGTCTTTCACAGTAACATATATATTATATCAATGTTAAAATAGAATATTAATGTATTTTTTAAATTTATTATATAGAATTATTGATGTTTACTAATAAAGTATTTTGTTTTAATATTATGCAGTGCATTTTTAACAACTTATCTAAGAAAAAACAACATAAAACGTTCTAAATTTTATTACATTTTCTTTCTTGTAAAGAGATACGTCAGGTTTGAAAATACTTTTGCATTTTATTAGATAAATTTACAGGTTGAAAGTAAATTTTATTACACGTATCCTTTTCATTTTATATTTCAGATTGACTTTCCCTGTTCTTTGTGTTGTTGCAATTGCAGTTATACTACCAAATCTTGTAGATGGTCCCCATTGGCATACTCTTGTTAATATCTGCGTAAAGGATGTTGAACTGAAGTGGTGGAAAATAATACTACATGTATTTAATTTTGAAAACATTGGCATTACAGTAATTTGCATTTATCTTCAATCGAAATCTTAAATTTATGCTTAAAATAACACAAATTGTTATGCTCTTTTCTTGCAGATGATTAGTCACGTGTGGATTATGAATGTAATCTTTCAATATAATATCATCACTGTTCCTGTATTATTTGTTCTAGACAGGTAAGAAAAATTGTATAATTAAAATGGAATTAATTGTAAATAGAAAAGAAAGTGATTAAAAGTAATTTGGATGTAATTGACCTGAAATGCATGTTTTTGTAAAATTTGCTGGATGACACTTAAATCAATTATGTAAGTACTGTACATATTACCTGATCGATTTGGCACTGTTGTATAACCAAATTTTCACAGTGAATACTGGATGAGCTGAGAAGTATTATACTTTTGTTGTTGTCGGAAAGTATTTAAACGGGCAAAATTTATTTGAGAATAATAAATGAGCATGGAGATTGCTGTTTAATACTTCGATACTCCTACACAGTGCACTCTGATACTGAGCACTCTGATACGCACATGAGCCATATTTGTTATAACATGGCTCATATACTATACAGTACGTATAGCAGTATTGACAACTAGCAGGTAATCTGTGCTCAGATAACCGATTGTAATATCCACGTGGGACTATTGTTTATATACGATCTCTCTATATATATGTGTGTGCTATTAACATATGTACTGTATATTAAATTAATAATAGTTAATAGTAGCCCTTCCTAGAGTACAAACATGTAATTTGCATAAAAAGATTGTGAAACTTACAAATGAAAAATGTTAGTACATTAAAAGAAAGTGAGCCTACGCAGTAGCAAATCTAAATTATTGCAGTGTTCTGTTTTTCGAACTGTTGAATACATGTTCCTTCAAAAGGATATTACCTTACTCTTTGGGAGGATCATGATACGAATCCGGTTTTTTCTCATAGTTTATGATAGACTAGTAGCCCGGGACGCCATCTAGTGTGCGTTCTTTACAAATTCCCATAAGGCACGGTTCCTTTGACTTTTTTGTTCCTATCAATATGCTCTACAGCTCTGTTAAAGTCCCAATCGCGGCTTACGGATCAAGATTTCTACCTATTAAACATTCTATACATATACTTTAAAATAGTTTGATTTGTTTATTTACCTTCGCTTGTAAACCTGGATTTTAAATGTATCCGCCATTTTTCAACAAATTTCCCGTGAGTTAATGGGCGATGTTCACTGAGTCACGGGATGTTGTAAACGTGCGGCGCAAGGTTAATCAAGGCATGTAATAATGCAAGGCATATAATAATTATTTATATCATTTCGTGGTATAAAAAATAAATTCATATCAATAATAAATTCCTATTACAAATAAAAATAATTTATTGTTAATTTAAAATTATCGCTAGGGCGCCTCTAGTGCCCATTTTTGGCATACCGTTACGCGGACAGACGGTCGCGCGTTAAATGGGTTATATAGATAGATAATAGGAATTGAGACAACTTATTACGCTGATTGATCTTACCTGATTATTTCAGTTTATTCGTAACGTCATGAAATGTTCCTTTCTAATTGTTAGGCAATTAATCAATTGTATAATTTTTTATTTGAAAACTGTTTAATATGGCACAAAGTTCTGTAGCTTTGGTTTCATTACTATACGGTAAGGTTATTTTTTGTGAAGAAATTCCAGCAAACTTTACGTGACTAGACTATTGCTCGCGGAACATGTGGCTAATATGCATTTATAAAACATTTAAAGTACCTTATAATTTAGTCTTATTAGATTTAAGGAATACTTACGCTTGTTAAAAAATACTTTACAAGTATACTAATATGCATCTCCTTTACATTCATTACTGCTAGTACTGATCGTATTAACAGTAATCAGGTAAAAAAATGAATGGGTAAATTTACTGGTCTTTGATAATTTTTTACGGGTGAATTCGATTAAAAGTAGGTACACATATTATATACGTAGACAGTGGATTTAAACTTGAACATACTTTGGGTAATTTACTTTTAATTTACTTTTTAAATTATTAATATAGAATATTTTACAATTATAGTTTATATTACAGTACATCATTATGCTGAATGGAAGATTTCTTATTTGATCGATTAGGCTTGGACCTAGGGGCACAGCAATAAAATAAAAAAAATAAATAAATTTAAAAAATTTATAAAGAAATTAAAGGAAATTAAATCTTAATCTTAACTATGAACTAGATAAGATGTATCAGTTGAGTAGTATTAATATATATATGATCGAAGGGATTAGTCTCCAGTCATTATTAAGTCAGACCCTACTGAAGATACACATGACCCCCATTATTTCCCTACCATCTCGACCTTTAACCACCTGAATTTAGCAATAACAGCATCAATCCCGCCAATAAACAAACCTCTCTGCAAAATTTTCTATTTTTTAGTTAGGAGGATTGCCCACAAATCCATAAGTCGGCACAAAGTAACTAATTGAACGGCTAGAATCACGTTTTGGTATTTTAGTTCATCAGAAATAAAAAAGAAAACACGTTGGCGCTGTAATATTGACCAATATAATTTATTTCTGAACTATTATTGCCTTTTTCAGTAACGGAAAATATAGTATATGGGTTTATTTTACTGTTCTATTAGAGATGCTAAAAATTAAAATACTGTAGTCATGTTAAAAATAATGCAAAAAGTCTTTTAATTAATGTGTAATTAGCAAAGAGAAAAACAGGAATTCAGGGTGGGGTGAGAAATGGGTTGTTTTTACGGTTAAAAGAAAACTAAATCGTTAGATGGAGCTCGAGCGCCCGACGTATTTGTTTATTATACAAGATTGTAGGTTTCCTATTTCGCCACTTTCGAACGGTTGGGAATTTTATATTTTTGACTGTAATGGACTTATGTACAGGAAAAGCGATTTATTTTGATACTTGAACAACGTTTGTACTCTCAACCATTCTGTCAAACGAAGCTAAACAATATTTGAGACTCACCAAAGTGATATAAAAATAATTGAAAGTTTTCTCTTGTGTAAATTAAAGTTAACCTAACAGAAAAGAAGATTATGATGTGTAAAATTAGATGACTGTAGATTTATTGATATTACAACAAAATACAGAGCAGGTTTATAGTAGAAGATTGTATCAAATATAATTTATAATAAATTTTACAAAAACGTATTTAAGTAAAACTAGTGAACCAGGCTTATTTCACTCCCAGCGTATTTAATTAAAAGTTTTCAAAATGCATTACGGCTTTATTAGTCCCTTTCAATTGCATTACATACAGGGTGTATCAGAATGACATTTTAAAAATTTGGGGGAATGTAGAGGATGAAATTTTGAACGTTTTTGATATAAGGAACCTATAGCCGGAAATTTGAACTAAAGTTTCTACAGCACTTTGCACGTTCTATGCGGTCGATATGCTGAATGAAACAGCAGACTACAGTATTTATGACAAGTTTTATTGACAAAAAAATAGAGTACAATGAAACTATACGTCGAATGAGTGGCTGCACTACTTTAGAGTAAATGTTCAATGTGACGACCACCAACTTTGTTACATAATGTGCAACGACGAACGATGTTTTGTCCGACCCTCAGTACGATGCCAGGCTCCCCTCTGATGGTACTATATGCTGTAAAGATGCTCTCCGTAACCTCATCAACTATTCTACAGGTGTTGCGTACACAAGGGACTCACGTTGACTAGTTGTGTGTTTACAGCACGGAGCCAGTGGATGCAAGTGGTGACTTTAAGGACGACAAGCACTAAGTACACAACGTCCTGTAGACAGGCTCAGTTAGACCACTGTAGTGTGTTTACAGTCTTCCATCCGCAGCAATAATATGACGTGTATGGACAGAAGGGTAGCTACCAAAGTGAAGGGCGGTCAAGCACTTTTTTCTGCTGTAGAAACTTTAGTTCCAATTTCGGGCTATAGGTTCCTGATATCAAAACGTTCAAAATTTCATCCTCTATAATCCCCGAAATTTTTAAAACGTCATTCTGATACACTCTGTACAGTCGACCCCCTATAATTACGGTCCCTATAATTACGATTCCTATAAAACTACGAAAAAATTGCTATCGGTATCCGTAAAAAATAGTAAAAGTTCCCTATAAACACCTCAAACGTCATCGGGCAGCCGAACTACTTTCCCGCCGTCCGTAGCGCCACGCTACGGAGAGATTTCTATCGTCTGGACAGTATTATATAAATTATATATAAATTAGGTACTGTACATATAATTATATATTAATTATATATAAATTAGGTACTGTATATATAATTATATATTAACTTATTGTAACTTTGTTATAATTAAATATATAATTTCCGCCGTCTAGCGTGGCGCCACGCTACGGAGATTTTTACGCTAACTATCGTCTGTCAGTATGTAAATTAGGTACCGTAAGTCTAATACAGTACTGTAATTTTATACATTTCTTGTGAAAGAAACATTTCTTATTCAACGGCGATTAAAATTATTTATATTAATGATGTCTCCGAAGTTCTACGAAGTTTTCACAGAAAAATAAGTTGTTAGAAATCGGCCGCTCTTTGCTGAGCTGTTCCGCGACGAAAACAATGTTGAGCAATGGCAATGTCGAATGGTGACACTCGGTAAGTAATCCTACAATTTTTTGTTTATAGCGTAGTTTATACGGATTATTCCCAAAAAATATATACGTATTTTGGAAATGTTGAGTCGGATTAGTCTAGAATCGATTAATTTTATGGAAGAAAATCTTTCAAACAGCCGTAGTCCGTAAACTTGACACGTGTCGGGTTGTGATTGGAAGGATTCGTAAGAAATCGGATTCCTAAACAATGAAACGTATCTCTATCTTATAGGGGGGTCGACTGTATATGGATAGCAATCTAAAAGAAAAAAAAAGTTTATGGTAACTATCGCCAACATTGCAATAATCTTTAGAAGTACAATAATAATAATAAAATATTATCAGAATTAAAAAATATATGTAGATCATTAATTGACATTATCTTTAGTCATTTAAAGATGGACAAAGGAATCATATTATTATAGTAAAATGACGAAAAACCGCTGAATTAAAAAAAATACAATACGAGACCAAGAAATAAATATCAATATCTTGAATGTAGAATCTTTTTTTTTAGATTACTACCATTGTAATCCAATAGAGTTGTAATCCAATAGAGTTGGCCAGTAAGATCGAAGTTCATTTTCGAAAGTGTTAATTAAATACAATGAAAGTATAACGAACCTTATTCATTAGTTTTATGTAACTATGTTTTTGTAAGTTGATAAAAAAACTGGCAAGAGACTTTTTAATAAATATTGCATTTTGTTTTTAATTTATAGGTGGCCGAAAATTGGAATTATGTTAATGATCATCTTGAGTTTAGTAGGATTTTCTACATCTGCTGTATTCATCTTAACTCATAACTATACATTTGCACACGGATATTCTACTAATGTTCAGTAAGTCATTAATACTTAGAATTTGAATTTTTAATTAAATACAGAGATATGTGTTCCAAATATCGAAAGACAGAAAACAATGTACAGGGTGTTCGCATAGACGCGAAAAACGTCATTTCTCGAATTTTTTTATAAAGTAAATACGGATATATGTATTTCATGATTAAAGGTATATAAGGTATTTTCTGATATACAGTAGACCCCCTATAATTACGGTTGCTATAATTACGATTCCTATAAGACTGCAAAAAATTGTGACGGTATCCGTAAAAAAAGGTAAAAAAAACTCCTACAATTACGTAAAACGTCATTTGGCAGCCGATCTGCTTTCCCGCCGTCCGTAGCGCCACGCTACGGACATTTAGGCGGGTAAATTGAGTTTAGTTTCGTCTGTACATAAAATTATATATTAATTATATATAAATTAGGTACTGTATATATAATTATATATTAACTTAATTTATTGTAACTTTGTTATAATTAAATATATAATTTTCCGCCGCGTAGCGCCACGCTACGGAGATTTTACGCTAACTATCGTCTGTACAGTATGTAAATTAGATACCGTAAGTCTAATACAGTACTGTAATTTTATACATTTCTTGTGAAAGAAACATTTCTTATTTAACGGCGATAAAAATTATTTATATTAATGATGTCTCCAAAGTTCAAAGAAGTTTTCGCAGAAAAATAAGTTATCAGAAATCGGCCTCGGTTTGGTGTGCTGCTTCGCGACGAAAAACAAGCTTGAGCAATGGCGATGTCGAATGGTGCACACTCGGTAAGTAATCCTACAATTTTTTGTTTATAGCGTAGTTTATACAGATTATTCCCAAAAAAATATACGTATTTTGGAAATGTTGAGTCGGTTAGTCTAGAATCGATTAATTTTATGGAAGAAAATCTTTCAAACAGCCGTAGTCCGTAAACTTGACACGTGTTGGGCTGTGATTGGAAGGACTCGTAAGAAATCGGATTCCTAAAGAATGGAACGTATCTATGATCTTATAGGGGGGTCGACTTGTATATATCAGAAAATACCTTATATGGTAGTTGTCCAGATCATCGATATGTGACTGTAAGAGGCAAGAATTTCACTGCTATAATTTCAGGAATGAAGATTTGTTACTCAGTCCTTTTTCAACTGCTATGTTGAAAAAGGACTGAGTTTGCTATTTTTGCTTCCACCAAAAAATAGTCTCTTACCATGCAAAGAATAAATCCACATTTAGAGCATCTCTTCGTAAGGATCCACACTTACATAACTATCAAAGAAGAACGATCAAAAATAATATACGATGAAATCTTAGTAATTTTTGTCGATGATTCTTTTAGACAACTTGGGTCACTTAGCAATCAGTCGATAGCAATGCGGGCGAGTCAAATCCAGGACAAAGATGGAAAATCCATTTTAGTGTCCACAAGATGAAAAGAATTAGAAAATTTACTCAGCAGACATTGTGAGCCTGTCTGAATAAAACTTTGATAATTGTAATCTGAATTCGGTTATTCTTATCACTATCTTCTGACAGGTATTTTAATACTACATTTTCGTGCTAGTAGCCTCAGAACGTCTCTTTTAATCTGACTTAATTGTTATAACACTTGAATAATAATTATAATAATCATTATTATTATTATGTTGGGTTTAGTGGGTTATACTTGGTTGACACCGGTGGCTGTGTACTATGCAGGACCAGAGTCAAGGCATAGCAACCAAAACAAAACTAAAATTAAATAAGTGTGTCAGTGTCTGTATTCAGGAATTTCCTAACAATATGGCATGTATTCAATATAGTGGCCCTCTGTGAGAAGCTAAGGGTATAGGTGTGCTACCTATATCACTTACGGGCACAAAATCGCAAGATTGGCTTACTAAACTTTTTCTAGGAGGGCGGTAAATGTTTAAGAACGATCTAGAGCAGGGGTGACCAACCTTTTCAGAAGGCGGGCCAAATTTCAGAAATAATGTTTCCTGCCGGGCCACGCACCTATTTTTTTTTGTTTTAATTAAAGTAAACAAGCAAGCGTGCTACAGCTTCAACCATATCGTCGCTTCCCAATAGGTGAGATTGTGGTCAAACACTTGCCTGGTTTAATGTAAAAAGACACAAAAAATAGGTATATTTATTTTTTTGAAGAAAATAAAACATAACCGAGAATCAAACATATTTATTAGACAATTTAAAAATATTTAAAAGTGAGACATCTGACTTTGTTTTACAGAACTAAGTGCATCAAAATTGATCGCCACTGATGTTGCTACACGCAAATAGTTTTCCAAATGAACATCAGTAATTCGATCTCACTTGTGATTTGATGTACTTCATGCAACTAAAAAACTGTTCACATGCATAAGTGTTTCCACATAGCGAAACCATCGACAGAGCATGTTTGTAAAACGCAAGCTATTTATCCTTGTCCAAATACGTTTCATAGAACTCTTCCAAACCAACTTGATGGAATTTATCCAACGTTTCAGGGTTTACTTACTTATAGAATCGATATGGTAGACGGGCTACTTGGTTACAGTAGTTTGAACTGTAATTATAAATATGTTAAATATGTATTTTAACGTCGATTGCAAAATCTCTCCAGATGCATTGCTGATAATAAAACGAAACTACAGAATAACACGGAACTTTGTCAAGCTGGACTGAAAGTAGTTATGAGTATGAGCCCGACAGCATTGCGAGCTTCCCGATAACGCCGAAGACCACAGAACATATATAGCGGAAGTTGAAGTCTCATATTAAATTTTATCAACGCTTAGCGTCGGACAAAAAACTAAGTAATCTTGAATGTCAAATAGCGGGATATTTGAAATAGCTAAAAATCTATGAATTTTTCCAAAAATGAGAGATATTTCAAACTTCTCTTAGCTATAATTTAAAAATACATGATACGAATAACTCATGAGGTAATGTTCTTTTGATGATATGTACAATAAAGTTAACATTTACGTTCATTTGAACTAGCTCCGTGGGCCGCAACATGACTCCCGGCGGGCCGCATGCGGCCCGCGGGCCTCGTGTTGGCCACCCCTGATCTAGAGGATTAATTCTAGATCTCGTCAGGGTCCTGACACCAGTTAATCAGTTTTATAACACGCGGATTAACACGCATAGGATGCATGCAAGATGAGGTTGAATCTAAAAGACGGCAGAGACATTTCTTAACAAATGAACAAATATTTAATAAAACTAAGTAGATAAATTCATACAACAATCTAATACTCTAATGCTAAACTAAACCTATGCTTATTCTACGAGAGTGTTTTCGAGAAAGAGTTTACATCAATCTATTTCTAATATTACTTTCACCTGTAGGTCGTTAACATTTTTCCTCTTGTATGCTTTCTTCTTCGAAAATTCTCTTCCTTACTTAATTCTGTATTTCATATTCTTATAAAAGTTCGATGAGTTCGTTTCTTATCAATAGTTGGTTTCTTCGTATGGCTTTTCCCTTTTATTGGACTGCCTTATATCGTTTGTCTAAACTTTTTACGTATTTCCTCGGTATGGCAATTGTCTCTTCTTGACTGATTTGCCGCGAAGGTACTGTATTTTATATATGGCAAGGCCTTCCTCTCACGGACTGCAGCCTCGAGTGGCGCGAAAACGGCCCTTTTATTGGTTCTTCTGTACCGTGTGCAAAGTTATCAACTCATCAACAGTTCGCCTGGGAAAGGAAGTCAACTTCCCTTCAAAAACTGATGTTACATCCGTTTTTTTTAGATAAAATCTTGGTAAAGTTCGAAATATTATTTTCTCTAAAGTTTTTAGTTTTCTTTTGAACCTATTATATTATCTATAAACTTTCTCGCCACTTTTGACTCTCACACTTCTGTAGTGTGATGTATGTATTTCTACTCAATTGTAATGTTCCCAGGCTTTTGTGTAGTGTGTGTGGTATCACACCTGTACAGGAGAGAACGACAGGTACAATAAGCACTCTTTCCATCCTCCACAGATGCCTTATTTCCTGGGCGAGTTCTGTGTACTTGCTAATTTTTTCATTGAATGTGTTTTGTATATTGTGAGTGTTTGGAACAGACATGTCTATAATGTATGTGATTTTATTGTGTTTGTCAATGAGTGTGAAGTCTGGTCTGTTGTGGTAAATTGTTTTATCTGTGATTATGGCTCTGTCGTAGTACATTTTGTGCGTGTTGTTTTCCAATACTGTCTGTGGAATGTAATTGTAGTATGGTAATAATTTGCATTTCTTTGCAAGCTCTTGAGTGTATGATATTTGCTACTTGATTATGCATGTGTAAATAATCTGTCTGTGGCAAGAGCTTGCACCCAGAACTAATGTGTTGTATAGTTTCTGGTGTGATGTGACATTTTCTGCATGTGTCATTTGAGTATGTGTTTTCTGTAGTTTTAAGTATTTATGACCTGCTCCTCTATGGAAATCATGAATCCTTCCGTCTCCCCAAGGAGGCATCCCCGATCTAACTAGCTTTTTGACGCAGTTTTGCCAAGAAAATCCTTGGCCATGTCATAAGGATGCCTGCCGTGGAGTGCCTTTCTTGTCCACGATTGCTTAATGGTGTCTACGCTTTTTATATGCTGTGTCAAGTCTGTATGATGTGAGTGTAAGTTTAATGGTGTGTTATTTGAGTCTGCTAGAGTTACAGCTTTATGTAATTGTGATGTTTCTTGTTTCCTGTAGAAAAACTCTCGCAGTGATTGTATTTGTTTGTAGTGAAGGTTAACTATGTCAATCAGGCCACGTCCGACATTATTACCTGGAATTATGTTTCTATGGCGGATTTAGGATGATGTTGTTTATGCTTAGTAAGTGATGTTCTTGTTTTCCTTTGGAGTTTCTCGAGATCTGTGGGAGTGCAATGTATAACTCCAAAAGAGTATGTGAGTACTGGGATGACATATGTTTTTATTGCTTTAACTGTGTGTTCTAAGGATAGCATTTAACCTACTTTGGTAGTCTTTAATTAATCTTTGCTTTATTTGTGTATGTTCTGTTAGTTT